GGACTCAAGAAATAGTCGTTGTTGAGGATAGATATATACACACAGGTTATAGAGATTTTTTGACAATTCTCTTCCTTAGCTTTAATGGAACTTCTTAAAACTGTATTATTGCAAGTAATTGCTAGTTTACGAGATTTATGGTAGTTCTCCAAAGCGGAAGTGAACCGAGTCCAACAATCTGGTTCGAATCCTCACGTGATGGATGAAATCCCTATCTCCACATCCTAAAACCCTTTTGGCAAGATGCAGAGAATTACTAACTCTAGCCATCCTTTTGTTATATAAATTATACTTACGGTTAGGGTTAAATTACCTAATGAGACATCCTCATAGGTTTATTATGCCCAAAGGCTATTTTTTCCCAACAAAAACAGAAGCAGCTAAGAGCCAAGAATGGAAGAATTAGTTAAAACGATTTTACAATTATGACAGCAATTAATGTTTGGTGATTCATACGGAGAACCATTTTTCTCCATTCTCCTAACTGCAAATGGCACTTTGATTTCAAACCAAAAGGCTGCTGACGACCTTTTATTATCTGACCAGCTATCCTCCTTGGACATTTATTTCAATATGTCTTTGAAAATATAATTCTCAATCACAAGTTTTTTTCTTTATTTGGGTAGTTGCCACCTTCTTTATTACTCAAATTATACTGATATATATTGCCACTATATTTGTGTGTAACCCATTAGTTACCAACAAAAATATAAATATTTTCTTCTTCTTTTCTGTAGTTAAAAATAAAAAATTAAAATCTAAAGAAACAGGAAAAATGAAGAGGAGAGACACATTTTTCTCACGTATATATTGAGGCTGTGGCAGCCTACAAAATTTATTGGTCCTGCAAATTTTCAACAGAAACTAAAAGATCAATAAATGATCACAACAGCCTCATAAATTAAAATCTCATCTTCCATTCTTTCATCATTATAGTAGTAGTCATGTCAAAGCTAACTTTCTCTTCCATTTCTGACCTAAAAAAATAAATAAAAAAAAGAACCTCTGTTCCATTTAATTCCAATTCCAAGCCCTAGCTATAGCTTGAATGGTGGCCGGCGAGATTGACAACTCCTTGCTCTCTCCTCTCCTCGCCTCTACTCAATCGCAAAATTAGGAATTTTTCAAAGGATATTCAAATTTGAAAGAAATAAAAGAAAATTTTCGACAAAGGGTGTTCAATATGTGTTATATGCCTCTAAAACGTAATATTTTACCTACATACACAGTGCAATTTTTTAACGAACAGTTGACTATCCTTGTGACCATTTGGCTTCGCCTCTGCGGCTCTACTAATCCAATGCATGCTGAGCTCATCGCTTTGATCACCCTAACCTTTTATCTACTGTATATCAAAGCTCTCAATATTTAATTTATGTAGTGTATGGGTCAGAATTCGACCCCACGACAATTAACGAGGCTAATCCCGTTTTAAGTTAATTCATGATTAATTAGTGGCACGACCACTCAGAATTGACGACGTTCAACCCGCCTCTGGCTCGGTCAACAAGGCCCTGGCCTATCCGCCACTATAGAGGCGAGACCTCAGCGTGGCCACGGCCATTTATTGCCAGCTCACGAAGCTCACATCTATAAATACTAAGAGTGGAAGCCCTAGAAAGGGGGCTACTTCTTCACCATTATAGACAGGAGAGAGAAGGGAAAAATATACCCATCTTATGGGAAGAGAAAATACCATTGTAAGGCTCTGAACCTCTTCATGGAGAGGCAGACCAAACAAATATTATCAATAAAGGCTTTTAATGTTTCTCCCCCTAATTCTGAGTACTTATTTTCGTTTCTTTCATTTGGTCCAATGGATTATTACGATTTGCTATGATTTTCCCGTGATTATTTGTATTGTTTTGCACTCAAAAGATATGTGATAACTTTCGAGCAAACATGTAGTATTAAGCTTGACTCGGTATTAAATTTAACATAGAAAGAAGGATTTTGAAGCTGATGATATCTTAACTTTTTTTTTTTTTACTATGAAAGTACATTAAGAGTAAAATAAGAAGTCTAAAATATTTAATTTATGTAGTAAGCTTGACTCGGTATTAAATTTAACAAAGAAAAAAGGATTTTGAAGCTGATGATATCTTAATTTTTTTTTTACTAAAAAAGCACATTAAAAGTAAAATAAGAAGTTTAAAATTAAAGTATTTTTAAATATAAAAATATCATTCTTTTTTAAAATAGATTAATAAGAAAAAAATGTCGCATAAAACGAAATAGGGGGAGTACTACCAGAGTATCACTACTTTATTGTTTTATGTGCTCATATTTGACCAAAGAGAGATTTAATAAAGAACAAAGTTTGTTTACACATAAGCTAAATATGTATGCAAATATTAAAAAACATGTTAACTACGTATCTTTTCATATTTTCTCTTCTAATAAAAATATGAGCCGTGAATCACAACAATTATAGCAGTGAGAGTCAAATTTCTCAATTTTGATCGCAAATTCAGATATAGAATTTTTAAATTTTTCTGAAATAAAATTTATATATTTAAATACTACATAAAAATACTATAAAGAACCCATTTGGATGAACTTATTTTAAGTGACTTTTAAGTATAAGCCATAAGTTAGGAATTCTAATTTTTTGCTTTTGGCTTGTATTTGTCATTTTAGCTTAAAAACTGTAAGGCCCCGTAAAACTTTCACCTAGAACACGAGGTCTCGCGGTGCCGAGGTAGGTTATTGTGTTGAGGATTGTAGAATATGGCATTTCTGCGGTCCACTATGCGGCAGCAGAATCACTCTGCGGTCGCAGATCGGCCGTAGAGTGAAGCAGAAACTTGAGCTAAATTTTAGAACCATTATGCGGTCCATTGTGCGGCCTCAGCCGCAGAACCCATCGCAGACCCAACATAAGGATTTCCGGAGGGGAGTTCTATGGCGCATTATGCGATCGCAGAACTGGTCTGCGGACCGCATACCTGCCGCAGACCAAACTCAAATAGCCCAGGTTTTGGGACCCTTTTCTGCAGTCCTCTTTGCGGGCCGCATACCCATTTTGCAGTCCGGTCTACGATCGCGGACTCGATTTCCGCAAGATTAAGTTTTGTAAATTTTACCCGATCCCATTTTCATAAAAAGGCTTTGGGGGTCATTTTTTAGGGTTCATCTGATAATTTTTAGAGAGAGGTGAGAGCTATTCTAGAGAGAGAAAGGGGAGAATTTAAGGATTTCACTACTCAACTTGAGTCAAAGGGAGTGTGACTCTTGTATGGGAGAGTATTATTATACATGAGTCAAAGGGAGTGTGCATTATGGTTTCAAGGTTCGTCTATGGTGGATTCCTTCATCCCACAACCCAACAACTTCAAGTCGTTCCCATACACCTCGCTGGTACATGCACGTATAATAATACTCTCCCATATAAGAGTCACACTCCCTATTACCCAACAACTTCAAGTCATGTTTCAAATGAATTATGTAGAGACTATGATTTGGAGTATACCTCCACCTGCATACATTGGGCGTGAGGCGATAGGGCTGCTTGTGTAGAGTGGTGGTATTATGGTTAAACCTCCACCCGCATATATTGGGGTGAGGCGGCAGGTCCGCTTGTGTTGAGTTTGTGGTATTGTGATTGCACCTCCACCCGTACACATTGGGGCGAGGCCGCTTTGTGTAAAGTTGGTTACAAAGGATCTCGACTTAAAATTTATAAATGTTATTGAAAGCTCTTGATAAATTTGCTTTAGCTTTAACGGCTATTTATGCTATTCTACTGTTACCATGATTCATCATATTCATGTTGTATTTCCAAGTTCTTGATTAGGTGTTTGATTTTCATACTAGTCCTATTCAACATATACTAACGTCCTTTTTGCCGGGGGCGCTGCATCTTTAATGGATGCAGGTAGTTCCACAGCGAAAGACATTGAGCAGTGATAGCGGTACTCATTCTTCCCAGCTGACTTGGTGAGCCCCACTTCATTCTGGGATCGTGCAACTTTTGTTCTGTGTGTATTATTATGTTTTGAGGTATAGACGGAGCCTTTTTGCCGGCACTATCATTTTACTCTTTTGTATCTATTAAATGCTTCTTAGACATAGTGTAAATTGTGTATTAGTGTGGAAAAGTTATACTAAAGATGTCGTAATTGTATTACATGCTTCCACTGTTAAACTATTGTTGTTAAACGTATTATTTTGGAGACTCATAAATGATGCAACTAATGGTACTGAATTGGAGTGATTCACATGACTATCTCATTGTCTAATTAATAAAATGTATCCATTCTTTATTTATGGGTAAATTGGGTAGAAGGAAACCTAGCAAGCTTGCTCAGTCGGGTTATCTCGGTTGAGCGCCGGTCGCGCTCTCTGAGGTCGGAACGTGACAAAAACAAGTGCTTAAAAGCACTTTTTTACTTTATCCAAACACTACAAAATGACTTAAAAGCTATTTTGGCTTAAAAACACTTAAAATAAGCTAATCCAAACGGGCTCTAAGTCACAATAACTAATGATTTAAAATATTTATAAGGAAAATGAAAAAAATCATGGTACAAGAAACACTTATTTAACTCACAAAACTCAAAATGCATCAAACAAATATGGAGAAAGGAATACTCTATATAGCTCTGTTTTGATTGGCTGGAGAAAGTACTATCATTTTTTCTCTTCTTTGGAACAAGCAAAACATGCTGATTAACCTTGTCACCATTCATCTTAATTAATTCAGCCTTTTTCTCCCCTTATTTTTAAAAGATTATATGATATTCTTTGTCCACCAAAGGCCAAAAAGCTGATGTGGTAATTAACTAAACAAATCAGTTCATACCAAGGTCGCACTTGCGTATATTTCCATATAATAAACATTTAGCCTACCATTATATAAAGAATGCCATTTTGTACATCATAATTTACAACTAATCGCTTATAATCGAATCGTTGTCCATATCAAAGAGCCGGCAAAAGATAACTCTATATTAAATGTAAAGATGGTTTTCTCTTGATATTGACATTAACAGTTAAAATAATATCGTCTTTTTGGCCAATAAACCTCCTTCATTTTTCCTATATAACTGTAGCCACAGACTACACAAAAAAGCCAATAAACTTGTTCTGTTTTCTTCTTCCTACTAGAAGCAAATAAAAGATGGTAATATTGCATAAGGGCGTTTTGTCCACAAACATGAAAGCAAGAATAATAGGTTCAGGAAAAGAAACCATAATTCTGGCACATGGGTATGGAGGAGACCAGTCTGTTTGGGATAAAATATTGCCGAAACTCATGTCTAATTACCAGATTCTCCTCTTTGACTGGAGCTTTTCTGGTGCTGTTAAAGATCAATGTCTTTTTGACTCTGAGAAATACTCCTCCTATGAAGCTTTTGCTGATGACTTAATAGCTCTCCTTGATGACATGAAGTTGGATTCTTCTATTTTTGTGGGTCACTCCATGTCTGGCATCATTGGTTGCATTGCTTCTGTCAAAAGACCGAATCTCTTCAACAGGCTCATCCTTGTTGCATCTTCTCCCAGGTTATTTTCTAGTTTAATTTACTTAATTATATTTTTATCTATGTATGCTCTTGTACCATGTTGAGTTGTGTGATTATCTTATTTAAAAATTTAAATCGCTAAAAAGAATATACTTTTATTTACTTAATTATTATATGGTCTTAAACAATTTTGACTATCCCTCGAATAAGTTATCAGAAGTCGAACATAAATTAATTTAGGTGCTCAGTGTAGGACATGCCTGTATATGTTTATGTTTCTTTTTCTGTATATTTCTGCATAGTTTGGGTTCTGATGTTTCCTAGTAAAGGAAATAAGAGTTCTATGAGTCACCATTAAGAAATAATATATCTTTTTTCCTTACTTGGAATGCAATTTTCACCACTTTGCCTTGCACCTTTCGGTAAAGGTTTTCTTAAATAGTTAACTTCTTGTAAAGGTAAAAGGAAGTATTATTAATAGTGGTAACAACTAACGAGTAGAATGATATATCACCACGGCAAACCTTCCTTTTTCTTGTTTTAGTTAAGAGAACTTCATCATTACATGCATATTCAGTATTTAAACTTGATGGATTCAATCTTTTAGGGGTCGTTTGGTACGCAGACTATATTATTCTGGAATTAGAACTAATTTATACCACATAAGAAATGAGATAAAATAATCCCACATTTGATGGGATAAGGTGGAATAAGATGGGATATCCTAGATCAAGTATGAGATTATATTTATATCTTATTTGGTTGGAGGTATAAATTTATCTTATACCGCCAGGCGCCAATCAAATACAGTATAAATTTAATATCTTATCCCACCTTATCCCTCATGCCAAACGACCCCTTATGGTTCTTAGCACCGGAAATCACTAAACTTTTGAAATTATAAGTTCAGAGTTTCATATTTATTAAAAACTTTAGTAATTTTTCACATGTATATAACTTTTGTATCAATTGAATCCACTGACCAAAGACTGCATCATCAGAGTTAGACCGTATGGAAAAAGTTAAAACTTTTCTTGCAAATATTAACTATCATCTTCCGTAAATTAATAGGTCGAAACTGTCGAAAGATACGGTTTATCCTGTTGTTTGGTCCTTGTGTGTCTTCAAAATAATCTAGCCTAACAACTCATTTATTCTTCTTTTTTCTTTTTCCTGGCCGTACAGGTTCATTAACTTGGAAGATTATGTAGGAGGTTTTGAAATAGCAGATATAGAGCAGATGTTTCAAAACATTGAGGAGAACTACGGCGTTTGGAGTTCAGGCTTTGCTCGTATAGCTGTGGATCCAAGTGATCCTCCCTCTGTTGAGAAATTCGAGAAATCTTTGAAAAGAATGGGAGTCGAAGTTGCATTGCCTTTAGCAAAAACAGTTTTTCTCAGTGATTATCGAGCCATTCTTGAAAAGGTTGTCACCCCGTGTACCATAATTCAGTGTAAGATTGATTTTGCTGTTCCAAATTCAGTTGCTACCTTCATGCACACCAACATCAAGGGAGAATCAACGGTGGAGATCATCAACACTCGAGGCCATTTCCCTCAGCTCACTGCTCATGAAGAATTCCTTAATGTAATTCATAGAGTCTTAACTTCTTAGATAATTTCTTGCATGCTTGTTTTTTTCTTTTTTGGTTTGTTTGTTTGTTTGTTGGCAGTGAAAGAAAAAGATGAACTAATGTTAAAAAATGATCATTTGTGAGATAAAGTAGTACTAGTAATCTTGTTTTCATGACCTTTATTTTATATATATATATATATATATATATATATATATATATATATATATATATATATATATATAGAAGATGATATATGGTCTTGTTTGTCTCAGAAAGATTTGTGTGGTTGTCACAATTTGGGATAAAAATATTGTCTCCTCTGTAACGATCCAACCGGTTGTTTTGAGCTCTAGCACGTCGTTCGGCGGTTTGAGGCCTCAAGTAGCTTCACTTCATGTTTTATGACTTGTATGTATGGTAGGAATCGAATTTCAGGAAGTTCAGAGTTAATTCGGATAGAAAATTCTAATTTCGGAAGCTTTAAGTTGGAAGAATGTACTAGGGTTTGACTTTGAGTAAACGACCTCGGAATCAGAATTCGAAGGTTCCAATAGGTTTGTGTGATGATTTTGGACTTGGGCATATGCTCGGGTTGAGTATCGGGTCGCTCGAGAGCATTTCGGCGCTTATTGTGGAAAGTTGGCATTTTGAAGGTTTTAGAATTTCCTATGTTTGGTTTGAGGTGGACTTTGGTGTTATCGATGTCCGTTTGGGGTTTCGAGCCTTGGAATAGGTTTGTATCGTGATTTGTCACTTGTGCGTAAAGTTTGGCATCATTCTGGAATGTTTTGATATGATACACGTTCGTCGAAGTTAGAAAGTTTAAAGAAGGATTTTGATCGTCGATTGGTAGTTCGGATGCTGTTTGGCGTGATTTGACGCCTCGAGCAAGTCTGCCTCTTGTTTCGGGAATGGTTGGTATGATTGGACGGGGTCCCGGGAGCCTCGGGTGAGTTTCGGATCAATTCTCCTCATTTTGTCACTGCTGTTGCTGGTGTTTGGTTTCCTTCTTTGCGAATGCGAAGGGTCTCATGCGCTCGCGAAGAAGGATTTTGGGGGCTACTGGGAATTGTTCATCGCGAACGCGGTGAAGGAGATGCGAACGCGGAGCAGAGGCTGGGGAAGCCTACGCGAACGCGAAGAGCAAGGGGAGCCGGGGCCTGCCAGGCGTTAAGCCTTCGCGAACGCGGCTCGTGGCCCGCGAACGCGAAGGGTAGGGGTCAGAAGGCTTCACGAACGCGACCCTTTGGTCGCGAACGCGTAGAGCAATATTGGAGGCAATGATTTTTAGCCTTCGCGATCGCGAAGATGTTCCTGCGATCGCGAAGAAGGATGGGCCTGGGCAGACTTGATTTTTATACAGGATTTGGCCCATTTTCTTTCATTTCATATTGGTTTGGGCGATTTTGGAGCGCTTCAACGGGAGATTTTCATCAACCATTGCAACGTAAGTAATTCCAACATAATGTTAGTGAAATACATGGATTATATGTAGATTAAAATATGAAAATTAGTAGAAATTTGGAATTTTTGGTAGAAAACCTACAATTTGGTATTTTTGGATTTTGACCACGAAATTGGACGTGGAATTTGGAATAAATTATATATTTGAGTTCGTGGTATTATGGGTAAATTATATATTTCAGAATCTGGGCACGCGAGCCCGGGGGTTGGCTTTATTGACTTTTCGAGCGAAGTTTGGAATTGTTATGAATTGATTTACTATAAGTATTAGAGTATATTATATTGGTTTGCACATTGTTTGACTAGTTTTGGAGCGACGGGCATCGGTTTGAGGTGTTAGAGTGGCATTGGAGCCGATTATTGATCTTCGGAGCAAGGTAAGTCTTTTGTCTAACCTTGTGAGGGGGAAACCACCCCCTAGGTGATGTAATTGTTAAGTGCTACTAGTTGTGGGAGCTATGTATGCACGAAGACGAGAGTCCGTACGTGGCTATAACATGTTTATGTCCGGGTAGACTTAGGACTTTACCATGTAATAATTGGATTATTTGAACTCATTCCGCTGGCTTAATTAATTGTAGTTATAATTGAACTTGATTTAGAAATTACATATATATTAAGTCGAGTCTTATCGCCTTGAGTTGTTAGCAAGTTATTTGAGAATCGGTAAAAGTTATACTCACTTTGTGTTCATATACTATATCGTAAGCACGTGCCTCGTAATTCGAAAATTCCTTTCCTTTCCTTTCATTTCTTGTGGGGTGGACCGAACGCCTCGGCAGGAACCATACTCTTATGGGAGTGGGCCATTCACCTCGGCTGTATAATAGATGCATCTATGGTTCGTGCCATTGGACCCTCGGCAGTGCACACATTATGATGGGATCAAGCCATTCGCCGCGACATTTCTATAGAACATTCTTGTGGATCGGGCCATTCGCCTCGGCAGCATCGTGCATAATATTTTATAAGAAATCAGCATATCTGTGTGTTTTCTTGATTTGAGTTGTGACGACCTATCTAGTGAGGCCCTTTTCATATATGCTCCGGTTGAGGAGGTAACTGTCATTGAGAGCTTGAGTTTACTATTCAAAGGAGGATTGTACCACGTACCTAAATTTGTTTATACAGTTTATTACCCTGCCGTATATTTGTTTACTTCCTACTGTATTTGATTTACTAAACCACTAGTAAGTGTCGATGTTGACCCCTCGTCACTACTTCTCCGGGGTTAGGCTAGATACTTACTAGGTACACGTTGATTTACGTACTCATTCTACACTTGCTGCACTTATTATGCAGTATATATATATATATATATATATATATATATATATATATATATATATATATATATATGGTTGGTGGTCTTTTGGGTGCAAAGGCACGGTTCTTGTGGGACTTTACGGTGAGCTGCATTCCATGTTACAATCTGCAACATACAGAGTCTCTATCAGGGTTATTTATATTCTCCTGTCTAACTTGTATTCCAGACAGATGTTGTATTATTATTGTACTCTGTAGTAGATGTTCATGCACTTGTGACACTGGATTTTGGGGATTTATACTGGATGTTTAGTATGGTAGTTCACGTAATTATTATCATTTCACCCTACATATTCTATTTCATACTATTTAATTAATGGAAATTATGAATTTCAAAAGTAATAAAAGTGAGTAATTAAGTTGATCAATCATTGCTGGCTTGCCTGACGGCGGCGCTAGGCGCCATCATGGCCGATAGTGGTTTTGGGTCGTGACAGCTTAGTATCAGAGCTTAGTTTCACTTAGGTCTCACGAGTCATGAGCAAGTCTAGTAGAGTCTTGTGGATCAGTATGGGGACATCTGTATGAGGACGTCTGTACTTATCTTCGAGAGGCTACAGGGCTGTTAGGAGCACTTCCCTTCTTGAGTCCTCATCATGCGAATTGATTCCATTGAGGCTTATGCCTTTATTTCCTTCCTACTCAATCTTATGCGACGTGAAGTGCTTGTTATCAATTAGACATCGAGGAGTTGTAGTGTTACTACAGACGTGGTGCACGATGTTTTTCCTGCATATTCGGGCATGCTGTTATTGTTGCCTTGCGGAAGGATGTTCTGTCGTTTAAGCTTAGTATCTGTATTTCCTATGGTTTTGAGGCTATGCACAGATTGCTATGATATTCATGCATGTTATTGCACAGTGTTGGTGTAATGGTAAGGTGCTTGTTTACGTGTCAGGGCACTGAATGACTCGAAAGGAGGATTTCTCAGTGCATGGTTTAAAGGTATAGCGTTTAATTCCAGCGGAGGAAAGGCAATCCGACTATGGATGTTCTGGCTTTGGTTGATAGAGCAACGAGACTTAATATTTTCGAGCGTGGTGGAATTTTCATTTGTGATGTGGTGTCATCGTCCGTGATTGAACGCATTAAGGTTCGCCGGTGCTATGGTCTTCTTTGATTTTCCTTCGGGGCAGGGTGTTGTGAAATACTGTCTAAGAAGCAGTTGTCAGAAATGGCGATGCGTAGCGGTTACAGAATTGAATCAGTGTTTCTAATGCTGGGGGCTCGAGAAAGATGATCTTCAAGGAGGTTTAGAGTTGGTAGCGATTTATCAGTTCAGGTGCTACGGAGATGGATTTTAATTTGAGGCAGCAATTGGGCAGCGAAGGATGAGGAAGGACATGCAGAAGGTGTCTGGCGGTGGTTGAATTGCTAGCAGGTCAAGTATGAAAATCAGAGGTCGAGAAGTTGCTTAAAGGAGATGACTTAACCGAAATGAGAGTGGCAGAATAGCATATGGATTCTGTGGTAGGATAGCCACTTGCCTTGAGGGAAGTTTAGAGCGATTTGGAAATCATGGTGGAAAGTGACTAGGTCTACGGATTTTATTTGGAATGGTGGATACTGTGCTGAGGAAGGTTGAATATGACGGAAAGAAGTTTGCTTGGAGTGTTTAGGGGTGTAAGAGCTTGATTATCGTTTTGGGATACGACGTGACTTCGAGTTTAGAATGTATTGTCGGACTTTCAGTTGATGTTAATGGGGAATGAACAGACTTGTAGAGCTGGTGGACAAGCATGGGCTCAGGAAGGTTTACTGATCTCATGGTAGTTGTACCCAGTGCAGCGCTGTTGGAATATGTCGGTATGGAATTTTACAGGTGCGTTATCTCCTATGAGCAGGTTAGCGGTTGCGTGATTTTGATGAATTTTCTACGAAGAGTTCTACTTACTACCCGATAGAAGGTTGAATATACGATTGTGGCTAATAATTCGAAATGTTCATGAAAAGTTTAACAAGAAAGTACAAGAAATATGGTGACTTGACGGTGTGAGATCATGGTAATTGAGAAGGAGGAATCTTTTTGGGTTCTACATTATGTGATGGTAGCTTAAAGCTAACTAGGGGAGCCCACCGTCTACGATTGGATCTCATGATTTTCTGCTTGTAAGGTTTCTAGTTGTCGATGTATTGGTGGATCATTTATGACTAAGAAAGGAAAACAACAGGGGTAATTCGAGCGGAGAACTTGATGAACGTGTGCTATATTTCGCCTTATCGATTCATGTGCAATTTTGGGAAGACTCAGAGTTTATGCTTCTTGTGGATGTGATTTACAATGAAAATAATTCATCTGGTTGCTTCTTTGGGAGTGTTCATGTGCTAACAAAGCATTGGAGTTTGATTATATTCGGGACCAGGTCAGAGTGGGTGACTC